GATATTTTTAAATATTTTTTCGTGTGTTATTAACTAATTTATAAGGTTTACAATTCATAAAACAAATATTTGTATCGTTTATGTCGTATTATTTATATTTTATAAAAAACATATAACAACATTGCGACATCTATAAAATGACGACGTTGAATTAATTAAATTATTTTTAATTTTACAAAAAAAAAGATAAGAAAAAAGGTATTATGGTAATATACACTAAAAATGGGGTTCATCGTATTGACCAAACAAGTTCTATTGTACCGGACATCTGCTATTAAACTGCTTATAGTACTGGCATCATACTTATGAGCCCATATTTTGGTTAAAATTTTAAATAAAATAAAATAAAAATAGTAATGAAAGTACAGTGAATTATCGCCAATGTTCAAAATTATTATTCATTTTATATTATAATTTTACTTGCAATTCATTTTTATGATTATCAAGTGACAGGACGAAAAAGTACAACAGTCCAGTGCCACTCAGAACTTTGAACCGCGAAGATCTGCGGGGCACTGCCAAATCACTCGTTAACATAAGACATAAATTTTACAAGTCCCATGTGCCTGTAGTTTCACCGGCACAGGTACCACTAAAAGCCGTAACGTAGTATGGTAGCAGTATTTCAGTGGACGAACTCTTTCGCAAAGAGTTATACTGCTCCTAAATTTTTTCTTCTTCGGTACACTCAAAAAGATTACATTACATAGGTCATTGACTTACAACTAAATGGACGACGGGTCTAATACAAAAACCACGAAAAAAATGTCCCAAGTCAACCTATTCGAAATTTAAATTGTAATGTCATCGCAGTATCGCGCCGTCAGTAGAACAAATGAAGACTAAAGCTGAGTTTGGCGCTCTGTATACGATTTTAGCGCCTTACAAGTGCGGACACTTTTTAGCGCGGACCCGACGTCCATATAATTGTAAGTCAATGACATAGGTACATAAGACTTAGGAAATGAAACTATTTTTCCGGATTTAAATCGCGTATATTTGTTTTTTCAAACTAACCGACGTTTCGGGCCCTTTACAGGGTCATAAAGGGTTCAGGGTTGTAAAGGGCCCGAAACGTCGGTTTGTTTGAAAAAACAAATATACGCGATTTAAATCCGGAAAAATAGTTTCATTTCCTATGTGTAACAATCGCGAAAACCTAAGAACTCGATACATAAGACTTGTCAACTTATGTCTCAGGGTGGCAGGCGCAGTGGCAGTGCCCCTCGGATTTTTGCGATTTAAACTTCTGAAGTGGCACTGCAACTGTTACGGACAGGCGTGTAGCTTACCATCAGGCGCACGACTTGTTCGTCCCGTCACTTGATATTATAAAAAAAAATCAATTTTATTTCCTGGATTATAGCAGGTAGAAAAGTCATCATACTTTTATATCAAAAGCTTACTTATTTCACATGCAATACATTACATATTAATAATAAAACATGTCAAGTTTGATTTACTCGTCTGTGTCAAATGGGTATGTAGTTCAGCTGCAGAGAACTATTGAGTACAAAATAGGCATCGCTAATCTTCTGTTATCAAAAATTAACAAGCACATTTACAAAAAAAAAATAAAAAAAAAAGTTAAAAATTAGAGTTTCTAATTTCTCGAGTTTCGAGAATTCTCGTACCAGATTTCTCGAATTTCTTGGGAATTAGAGGCTACGCTAAGGAGAACGATCAGAAGCAAGAATGTAAAGATCGCGTAACTTTTAAGCCAATTTTTCATTAATTAAAAAAGCAATTTTATTTCTTGACTTCTCGGGAATATTTTTCTTGTTTGGAAGTTCCTGAAGTGAAGTTTCTCGAGTCGAGAAACCCTAAATGCAGAATATTTGAGAATATAATAAAACATAAATGTAAAGAAACCTGCATTCTAGTATTGTTGTAAAATAGCCATTGTGAACATTTTCGACTGAACATCGACAACTATTGAGACTCTTAGGAAATGAAACTATTTCTCCGGATTTAAATGGCGTATATTTGTTTTTGAAACAAATAAAAAAATAATAGTAGAAAAATAGTCTCATTTCCTATGTGTAACAATCGCGAAAACCTAAGAACTCGATATTGAGACTCTGTTACAGAAGTGGCAGGAAAAATGCAAATTTCGGATGGAAACATCGCGCGGCAGCCGATAACATAATCGGCTTTTTAACCATGATAGCAGTCTCTTAGCTCGCGCTTACGTCAAAATCTAGTTTGTATCCTATCTAATTAAATATTTCCCCTTAATTTATCATTGCTATAGATATCAAATTTATACGGTTAATTAACGTAAATAACATGACTAATGTACCTAGTAACTACGCATATATTAAAACCAGTATGCAAAACACATTTTTAAATCTTATTTTGAATAATTAAAATTATTTTGGTCTAGCATAGTTCTAATTTCAGTTCCTGGTACGATACGACGTTAACTTTTTCAAATTCAAATTCTAAATACTTGATTTCGGATTCCCCATCCATATTGGTTAGTATAACAAAGAAAAACTTACACACTAATGTTAGTAATCACAAACTTAAAATATGTGCTGGATTTAGGGCACACATGAAGTTTGGTCCAGTGTTCAAAAAATTAACACTGGACCCAGGCAGCGATAATGCTCACGATGATGCTGTTACAGCTGCCACGCACTCTGCGCATCAAGGATGCCGCTCTCTTTCTCATGATGACTGCAAACCCGTCCACATGAGCATCGGCGAACATTCCTGACGCGGTACAGAATCGCGGCTGTCGCAATAACATCCGGAGTATATTATTATATACAACTCTTAGAGAGTTGAGAGCTTTCTGAGTGTAATAGACCCATAGGCAGCAGGTATAAAAGGTCTGGAAGTAAGCTTTAAGAAGAGATACCTTTTGAGATACCTTTTACACTTCATTGATCTAATTTCATTAAGGTCTTCCTTACCTTTCTTTTCTTCGATCTTCTCTTTTAATTTTTTATAATAACAAGTGAGGGGATGAACAAGTCGTGCGCCTTTACAGTAGCAGTTACAGTGCCACTAAGAGCTTTAAATGGCAAACATCTGAGAGTTACTGCCACTGCACCTGTCACTCTAAGACAAAGACAAGTCCGTTGTGCCTGTAATTTCACCAGCACTCTTCAAAACCGAAATAGGTAAGGTGGCTGTACTCCCCTGAAAGAACTCTTTCACAAGGAGTTCCATTGCTACTTAAATTCATTCATCATCTACGGACCTCGGGACGAACAGCACGTGCCCTGAATGATCATGTATTCAAAATTTACGTAAATGTTCTAAAAAAAACTGACCCGTCGTTTATGATGGCCATACACCTTTCTCCTTCAATTCTCTTTTGGCATTATGCTGCACTATGCTCATATCAAGAACTCACAGTTAGGGCGCTGGATAGTCGGCAATTACTCCACCAAGAATGGCCTAACTTTTATACAAGAAAAGAAGAATTTCAACTCTAATGATATCTTCTAAAGTCTTGCATTGTAGTGTGCCATCTCTTGGAGATGGCACGGTCGTATCCTTTTTTTCAACCAATCTATCAGTTTTATGAACCAATATGATAAGTGTTTTCCAGAAGCTCTATACCTTTTCTAGCAAAAAAAACGTGTTTACATTACATCTAATAGTTAAAAGAATAATCTTAATTACTGTGCTTGTAGTTCTTTAATTGCCACAAAACTACGTTTTTAACAACTTACCATTGAATCACATAAACAACACATTCATAATTTGCATACCAAACCATCATGCTTTAAATTACTCGAGATTTTTGTATAATTTTCATTCATATAAGTGATATTAATTAAGTGATATAACAAGTATAATGATGATTTATATGACTAAATTAGAAGTTGCTTTTATTTTGAATCTAATTATTATAATTATAATACAATTTCAGTACATAATTTGCATTCAAATTATTTTATTTTTAACTTTGATTTGTTTTTGTTTCAATTTAACAGTTTGTATTTCTGCGTTATGGAAGGTTTTGGTTTTGGCATTTTCGTTGAAATATACAAAATACAATGTATTATATGTTACAATAAATGCGACTAACTTCCACGGCACATCGCATCGTCTTTGATCGTTATAGCCTCAATCCCTATAAGTCTGACTCATTCAAGGACGTCTCCGAACATACCTAAAACATTTTAACGCAAACTCAACTCCGCAACTAAATGAACGCTCGGTTCAAAGTCAAGCTCTTTTTAAATTTTAAATTCGTCCCTTGAAGACGAGTTATCGATTCCTGCCGGTTCCGCCGCTGCATACAATTAACCACCCTCATTTACGTCTGGTCAATGACAGCCCTGTTTTAATCAATAACTTCTTTTTCGCGCGGCGTCCTTGGTTTTTTTTCTCGGCGCGACGTTTTCTGCGCGTATTTCCTTTATTATGTGTCAATTCGCTCGCGGTTTTTTCTATAAGCTACTATCTAACGCAATGCCTCGTTTTCGACAATTCCGCAAAAAGCTCAACAAAAAAGGCAAAAGCTCAACCAAAAAATTGTCTACCGAACAGTATCTCGTATCGCCGGTCTTGTAGCCATTTTAATTATTATTTAATACCGGGGGAAGAGCACGTGGCGACGCGCACCATCTCACTCCCTCAACGGAGGCTGCATGCGCCCGTCGTGCGCTGTCCCCCTCGCACCAAACCCACTTACACACATAAAAATCGTGAATAATAAAAAAATGTGTACACATTTTTTTCGCTTAACCACTGTGCAGCTGTGTGCGTTTGGCCTCACGCCGCTAGAGCAAGACGCAACTATACAGGTGAACGGCGTAGACTGCTCCCCACTCCGATTTTTTAAGCTTCGCTATCTATGTTGGCGTCTGTGGATTTTTTTCATTTTTATGTGTTAGTGTACCCCTCACTCGGTGTAGTTCACTTTTTCTACTATAGATCTGAATTTCAGTCTCGTTTTTGCCGCGTTAGTCTAAAGGCGGGCGAGCGGGTGTTTTGTATAGCATTTTTGTAGTCTGCTTGAGCGGCCGGTGGCTCTGGGCGACAAAGTGCGGAGAGGCCGGCTTTTTGTGAGCACATGTCTTAAGAAGCCTCAGTGCCGCCACTGCAGCCCGGTGCACGCGCGAACCGCCAAGAGTGAGCGGGACAGAGAACTACATCACGTGTGGATTTCGTACACCCATAGTTTATATAGCACACTAAAATATTGAGCACAAAAAATCTGGTAATTCGGATCCTAGTAACGACGGTCGGCATTCATAATTTTACCGCAGGGTCAAGAGCACGGCTTGGCGTTTTTTCTCGCCGGCACTTTTTTTAATGTTTATTTTCTCGGAGCACGTGGATTTTTTGAGAAATTTTGGCGATAAAGCCTTGGACTGTTGCCTTTGGGACGTGTTGTGACTGTAGTGTTACCTTTATTATGTGATATATTTTTAGTGACATTTAGATAAGAACAAACTGTGATTTATTATGGTGATATTGTTGATGGTGGTTTTGAAGATTTTTGGATAGTGACAGGTAAAGTATAAACCTTATTTTTCTATTACTTCATTACTGTATTATGCGGAAAGAATATTTGCTTGATCTTATTTAATTTGGAAGCAAGTTTCTGCCCTTTCCTCCCTGTCCCTCTCTGGAGGGAGAGAGAATTTTACGCAAGATCCCTCCTGGATGTTGTAATTGCGCGGCGCCGTCTGTCAAGCGCGACCTTGAACGCCCGGACTATAAATACGGAAATATTTTCGGCAGTTCGTGACGCTATTTTCGAATTAATTTTGATTTGTGAATGCTTTAATGTTCTCTTTGTAGTTTATAGCTGAGTTTTACGACTTTCTTGACCCAACTTTGAAACATTTTACGCGAATTTTTTAACTTCTTTGGTTTATTTATTATTGCCGTTTCAACCAAAGAATAATAAGAACTTGCTTTCAAATTTACTTTAACAAGGTTCAAAATGTTGTCTGTGGAAACATAAAAAAATATGTATACGAAATACTTGACAGTTTACATCTTCAACCTAAATAATATTGTAAAAAAAACTCTTGTGGTGCAACCTTGCGATACGCTTCACTAACTTGGAAACCTCCAATATCACGACAAATGCACGTTTTTGATACCAAACAATTGTGACAAAAATTACAAAAGCATTTGGATTGTCAATCAGTTCGATATTTAAAAAATACAATACTACCATAAACCACTCTTGGTTATTTTTTAGCAATAATGGTTCCACAAAATTTAAAATAAGTTTTCAAATTCACGTAATTTTTATTACATGAAAATCAGAAATGTGTAAATACTAAATATACACTAAAAAAAAATCCAATTCACATATATTCCACAATTTAAAAAAAAAATTATTCAATTGAAACATTTCCTTTACTTAATGCCATTTAAATATTCAAATTCATTCGTGATATTAACAGTGATTAATAAACATTTAAACAAGTTTTTAAATGTTGTTATAATAATGATAAGTTTTTTTTATTTGTTGACATTTTATTTTTAGCTTATTTTTTAATTAGTGATATTGAATATGCCTACACTTTTAATACCACTGGCATCTACTCTTTTAATACCAAAGGTGTCTATACTTTACATACCAAATGTGTCTATATTGTTAATACCAATTGTGTCAATAACTTTCAAACTTAACTATTACCAACTTAATTTACAGATTTATAAATGTGTGTACAATTTTGCTGGTTTTTAACGAAAAAGAACACTAAAATCAACCTTAAGGACAAACTGAACGTTTTAAACAATATAAAAGTACAGAAGTGGAAAAACTCAAAATACACATCAAAGCCAATCAATATGAAACAAAAAGCTAATCATACCCTCTAAAGAACTTTACACTAGTATTATTACAAATCTTGAAGTCGATCAACCATGGGGCTATACATCACAAAATATATATCCAAATATACTTGAAAATCTACTTAAATAGTTTTATAACCCCTATTACTTTGAATGTAAGATTGAGTTTAGAAAATAAAGTCACCGCCAACAGTAAAATAACTTTGTATTCTATTCTATGCGCAATTATATCTTTGACAGGCATGTATGTTGGGTTCCACAGGTACAGTCGTGGCAACAAGTGTTTCTTTTTGAATAATAACACGTGTGCTTTATAAAAAAATAATGAGAATAAAATTCCTTTCATAGGTGTTATTTGATTTTAATATCGATAGATAAAGATCTTATCGTCAGTTATAAAAATTGTAAACTGCTAACATTAATATACTTAGTTATAGAGAGTAAAATTATTTATTATATGACAATAAAACACCTTCATTATACGTCAATATCAAAAAATTGGTTATGGTTCTAAAAAATAAAGATGATAACTTTTTTGAAATTACCGAAGTTATTGACGAATAGCAATAAAAATAAATGGAATGGTTATTAAATTTATTTTATTTGAACAACATTTTTCATGATTTGCACGAATTTTTCCGAAATTTCAATGGACACTATCAACAGTCGTACTTAAGGGTTAATTTTGCCTGCAGGCAAAGCGGCCTCCAGTAGCTTGCTTGTTCTTTTCACTCGATGTCGTTTAAGAGCTAGATCATTTTTTTATTATAAAGACAAGGTTTTCACAAAAAAAGCATCCACATCGTAAGGGATGGGCATTATTCCTATAATCTTCGCTTACCAACAAAACTGTTTTAGAAATGGAAAAGCTTCATCTTTCCTGTACAAGACTCATATCGTTCTAAAGTCTTTGTATGATTTTACTCATGTTTCAAAAGGGAACATTCTTTTTTTTATGATACTAAGTAACGGGACGACAAGTCGTGCGCCTGATGGTAAGCAACACGTCAATTCATAACAGTTGCAGTGCCACTTTTTTTAAAGCCTATGGTGTCCTACTGCTGGGCAAAGGCCTCCCTCCTCTACCTCCACATCTCTCCATCGATACTTTAGTCTGCCGTGGTCTTTCCTGTCTTTGGGGATACATTCTATCGTGGATTTCGCCTACGACTCATCCGAGATGAGGCATGACCCGTTCAGTCCTAGTGCCACTTGGATACTTTAAATTACAAAGATCTGAGAAGCAGTGCCACATAAGTTGACAAACCCCATGTGCCTGTAATTTCACTAACAACCTTACCCTAAACCACTAGTCGTCTTACGTCCGTCTACCTTTCATATCGATAGAACCGGTTTGATACGAGCCACAGCTTATGTGCTAAATCGAAATTACGTTACCTTGAAATTTTGTCTAATATTAGTTACGACGGTTAGTTAGATGACAGACGGTAAGTGGTATGTGATAATTATGTTATATAAATGTGTAAGGATATGACATTTTGGCTCTGCCTTGATATGATGGATAGCTATCATGTTCATAGATAAAAATCTATACGTTAGCATATTGTAAGCTCGTCTGTACCTACACAGAGTGTGATTATCGAAGCCTTATTCGATACGGCATGTGGGCTAGGGACTAGAGCATTGACACAACCTACGCGACTGCTCACTCGTCACCTGCTTGCCGATGAAAAAACTGCCAACTTTTTTTATCAACTCGTCAAATCTAGTTTTAAAATAGACTGCGGCCGTTGGCGGAATTCTTTTTTCAAATTATGATTATCTATCATTCCTTTTTTGATTTATTAAACAAACTTACATTATTGTTTCATGAAAAAAAAATATAATAACATCTATTCCATTTCATTTTTATGCCCTTTCTTCAATAACATCGGTAATTTCAAAAAGAAATTAATTTTTTATTTATAAATAAAACCAATTGCTTGGTATTAAAAAGCATAAATAAAAACAGAATGAAGGTATTTTACGTTCCTGTACTGTAAATAAGTACAACATTCGTTACCAAGTGAAACATTTTTATAACAATAAATTAGTTCTTTAACTATCATGTTAACTTAGTTCTTATAATTTTTTTTTTTTAAATACACGTGTTGTTACAAAAAAGGCAATTGTTGCTACGGCCAAGAAACTCAAGTGATCTTAAATACGTACCTACTTAACATTTATAAAGGCAACATTTTGGACAAAGACAATTGCTAAATAATAACTATAAATCATACGTTTGTATAATAAAAAAAAACACATTCCAAAACAAAAACATTATACTTTTTTTACAGCACTTGAAACTTGAAGATCTCGAAAAATTCCATGACAAAAACAACCAACATATACAAGAATAATATTTTTCTAAGATAGTGCCAAATTAAAGAGTATATATTAGATAGAAATATATTTAAAAAGCATTCAAGATGATGGAAGGACGGACTATAGACTACAGGCCTGATGGAGGCGGTCTGGACTACCATAATTCACCATTGATGGCAGAAATTCCCATAGACAATTATTCTCATATACATAGAAGTATAGAGCACCTTAGGTCTATAGGTGTGCCGCCACCTATAGAGCATCATAGGCACTTGGCAACGAATCTGACAGATTTGAGAAGATACGAGCATCCTGATGAGATGCCGGAAATTAAACCTTCAGTTTTGAGACTATCAGAATTTAAGAGTGGACTGCATGAGATTAGGGCGAGTCAAGACCAGGAGAATGAGGTACAGAGGCAGATGACACCACAGGATGATGGACAGAAAGGATACAGTGCGCCATCTACACCGCTGTCTGAAAATGGAGGACAAAATCATGAGGAAAAGGTCAGATTTTCAAATTATATAAAAGATTTTATAAATAAATAAAAAGCCTTAATTATTCTAAAATAGAATAGAAAAATACTTATTATTATCACCATATTACACAAATAAAATATATAGTTACTAGTAGTGCTGTAAACATTTTTTTTTATCAGGGGCATAGCAGTGCACCCGCCAAAGGTGTTCGCAAATTATGAATAAATAAAAAAGCTTTAATGTTTTATATTTTTTACATTATACCTAATTTCATTCGTAAAAAAGCCTGCAAATGATACATTATCAAATTCAAAGGCGGTTTTCGTACTAAAATATTTATAAATATGTTTATATACCCCGGGGCGTAACGAAATTCAAAGCTTTGATAATTACATTGTGTATAACAAAGTATGAATACATAAATGCTTATGTACAAGAATGAATAATTACATGATTAATTGTATGCACACACGGAAAAGAACATCGTGATCCGAAATAATGGTCTGTTCAAACGAACAATGTGTTAAAACGCCGAATATTATACCTTAATGACTTCTTAGACGAGATGATGACTTCCGAAGGCTTCAAGGATGCTGAGTTTTATTTATTATTTTAATGTTTATTTTACTATGCTATATATAGTTTATAATAACGAATATGACATATTACTTAACAATTCGCGATGGTACAAAAATATACTTCTTATTAACATTAAATTACACAAATATATGTATTTACAGGTGCTAGTACTGCTTTTGACAAAAATCTTTTATCAGGGGCAAGGCAGCGCACACGCCAAAGGCTGTTCGCAAATGACGAACTTTTTGTTACTCAGAGACGGGACGAAAAAGTCGTGTGCCTGGTGGTAAGCGACACGCCTGTCCATAACAGTTGCAGTATCGCTCAGAGCCTTAAATCGCGAATCGGCACTGCGCCCGCCACTCTGAGACATAAGGTTTTGACATATTCCATGTGCCTCTAATATCACCAGGACCCTTTAAAACAGAACGTAATACAAGAACCACATTACTGCTTGGCGGCAGAAATAGTTAAGATGATAGTACCTTCTTCACAAGCTCTAGTGCTACATTTTTTTTAATCTAATACACTCAATGGCGGTACGAACAAGTCGTGCGCCTAGTGGTATATAAGAGCGTTTGTGCACTACGTCCGATTCGTATCAGGAGGTCTACTCTCGATCTCCGTCCGATATCCGTCCGAAACAATTACTGTCAAATAAGTAATATTCGACAAAATTAAAAGACAAGTGTCAAGTATGAATCTTCATTCGCATCACGCGTCTTTTCATTTGGTCAAGTATTGCTTATTTGGCAGTAATTGTTTCGGACGGATGTCGGACGGAGATCGAGGGTAGACCCCCAGTTGCAAAATCACTCAGAACTTTAAATCACCTATTTTTTTAAATAATAACAACACACACACTCAACATAGCCCCGCACTACACATAGACAACCACAAATTACACACAAACTCACGAGAGAAATAAATGTAGGCCATATAATATTTCTTATTTTTCCCGGCCGAGGACTCGATTGAGTCTGGAACCTCTGCGTGGCATGATAACCGTTCGGCTATGGAGGCAGTTTACTTAGTTAGTTACTTAGTTTACTTACTAGTTTAGGCCTGTCACCCTGAGACATAAATTTGACAATTAAACTGTAGTTTCACCAGCACCCATTACATCATGAATCTTATAAGAATATGTGTCTTACAATAATATATAACAAAAAAATTTAATATCTTTTTATTTATACTAAAGTTTAACTTAAGTTTTATCGAAATTAAATTTAGTGTTAACTTGAACAAAGTTAATTTATTCCGTCCTCTAACTGGAATAGTGATCTAACATGTGTTGTACTTGACTTTTCAAGTACATTACTTATCGATTTATTAGCATACGTCGCTACTTCCTTCTCTTATAACATAACTAACCTTTTATAACCTAGAAGACGCCCGTGTTCAGCAGTGAAACATATATGAGTCCATATATTATAGAACTATAATATCACGCTGTAAAAGTCTATGTCACTTCAAAACCATATTGTGAGTGTCAAAAAAAATTCTGAGTATTTCATCTGAAATCCATCAATTATTGAATGCGTTTCTTAAATGTACTACATATCGCAATAAGGTCACATCTGCAAAGTAGCAACTTTTCATTGTAGAGATATAAGATTCTGCGAAGGAAATTAGAAAATACTTTTTTATGTTTAAATAGGAGAGGTATAACATTTCACATACATAATTTCTTGAGTTATATCTCAAAATCACCTAATTCATCAGGAGGATGGTTTAAAACCACCTGACAAATATGTAAAATTGCCGACGAATCGTGTCGGCCATGTTGTCACATGATTATTTTAAACGATAAAGATCTTGATGCGGTTTAAGAAATAAAATGTTGCTAATTCTGAGTGCAGCTGTGTAATAAGACAAAAAATTAACTATTTTGGTTTAGGAAATTAAACTATTCTTCCAGATTTCGTTTCGAAAAAAACCAACGTTTTGAACCCTTTACCACCCGTGGCCGTGACCATGGGACCTGTGAAGGGCCCGAAACGTTGGTTTGTTTGAAAAAACAAATATACGCAATTTAAATCCGGAAAAATAGTTTCATTTCCTATGTGTAACAATCGCGAAAACCTAAGAATACTCGATACTCGATATTTTGGTTTAGGCCACTATTATTTAAAAAAAGCGATGTATATTTTTATGACTTCCATGTGATAAAAGCACTTTTGATATAAAATCACACGTGGCTTTATTATCAAGGTTACGACATGTATACATTTAAGAACAGTTACACACGGCTATACTTGCCATTTATAGGCGATTGTATTGATGTAAACGCGCCACTGTATCGATACAAACGAGTAATTGCATCGATACAAACGCTCGATTGAATCGGTACAGTCGCTTATGTTGAAACATTATGTACGAAAAATCTGTATATAGCTTCATGTACATCGTTTTGTTATGTTAATTAAAAATGAAAAGGAAATTAATAAATACATTAAATAAATAAATTCATAAATTAATTTAAAACGTGTATCGCTGCTAATGGTCGCCGCGTGTAACCGCTCTATGGAACGCTTTCAATAATCAGGATAAAATTCATTTTTTATTAAATATTCAGTAATTTTCTTCCAACACTCTGATTATCTTGAAAGCGTACCAAAATTAAATAATTGCAAAGATAAATAATTGCATAACATAAATTGTTTATAAACTTAAATACTCTTTATCTTCGTACATTGTAGATAATTCATTATGACGTACATTTCTAATAGGAGCGTTCCAAATGGAAGTTAAAACTCACTGAGAAATTTCAAGCTTATTGGAAAGTGAAATTAGGACATATGTGGGTAATTTTCTGGTTAGTTTTCTCTAATTAATTTATTACTTAGGTATTCAAGTACATTATCGTGAAATATTAAACAATTTTTTCTACATTTGAATATTACGTTATTACTAGAATATTTGAATAATAAAAATTGCCACCGAGATTGAGTAGAAAAACAACCGACGTCAAAAGTTCTCGGAATTACTTCTATTTGCCAAGTTTTATTGAAATCGGTTACCGGAAAGTACGCGAAACCGGATTCATCCCCTAGTTTACCACCCTTAGAGGTGGAATATTTCCTTCAAATTTAAATGAGATCGATACTGAGGTACCCCCTGTCCATCAAAAAAACACAATGGCGAAACATACACACACGGAAAATATAATAAATACAGTCGAATTGAAAACCTCATTTTTTGAAGTCATTGTATAAAAAATCAATAAAAATATATTGTAAGGGAAACCATGGCCTTGAATTTTGTTAAAGCATTTTAAACTTAATGAACGGAAAATAATTTTCACGGTCTGTTGTGGAAGTTCCAATTATGATAATATTTTTATTTACAACTTTATTATCCAGTAAAAAAGGTTAAATATTACCAAGTTGGGACGCCTGTGACGAACAGTCAGTTTTCCTCATTGACGGTTATTTGTCAAATTATTGGCGGATAGATGCCATGCGACGCAGTGCAGTATAATAATATATTTAGCATAGGAAATAAAACTATTTTACCGGATTAAATCGCGTATATTTGTTTTTTCAAACAAACCGACGTTTCGGGCCCTTTACAGGTCCCATCCCAGTCAACCGTGACCATAGGACCTGTAAAGGGCCCGAAACATCGGTTTGTTTGTAAAAACAAATATACGCGATTTAAATCCGGAAAAATTGTTTCATTTCCTATGTGTAACAATCGCGAAAACCTAAGAACTCGATAAATATATTTGGCAGTTACTTGCAGAAGTCGGGCCAATGTTTGGCCCAAGTGTTGGTAAGTTTTTGCCAAGCACTAAATCATTAGTGAACATCAGTTTAAAACTTTAATTTGGCAATTGCTTGAATGAAAGCCTCCGCTCAATCGTTAGCCGGTGGGGGTAACACATAGATCATGGTGAGCGGTGATATTTATTCTTTTACAAGTCCTATTAAGAGGTGTCTGAGATATAAAATTATTTTTTTCACGATGTGACATACAATTTTGAACGCAAAGAACCATCTCCTTGCAGATTTAAAATGTCCAACAAGTTCTTCCCCGAGTAGCCAATTTACTCTAAAATATGACGTCACATGTATTATCCGCCAGGGCGCACACAAATGATCGAGGATACTTTTTCTAATCTGGCGAGTTTTGTGCATTATAAACTCACATGCTAAGAACACAAGGCTCAAATTCTCAAGCCACAGGAAGTCGTCACCAAGTGTCACTTCAACTAGTTCTAAAGCTCGCAACACATCAGACGGAAGCATCAATGACCATAATGCACGGCATACCCACTAGACGTCGGATGATGAGTACGGATGCGCCTTGAACGTGAGCCAAGGTCAGGCGCTGCCGGGTCGCACAGAGGTTGTATAGGACGACTATTGTCTGCTCGAATAGTGATGGATACGAATAATTATACGAGTTGATAGACCTGGCGGGTTTACTACCAAAATTGAAAA